GTGTCTTGTCTTTTCCTAAATCCCCAGTGGTCAGTAAAGGACTCTGGCTACCACTGTGATGCTCCATAATATCTGCAGGACCCAAAGCCTTACCAACCACTGCTATAATACTGAAATCAAATGTGTCAGCTTGGCTGTTGCTTTTAAACTTAGTTTCTCCATTATCACCTCCAAGCATTGGCATCCCCAAAGTATTTAGTGCCTGGGATGTAAATCCTTTGAAATCATCATTATCCCCACTTTGGCTGCTTTCATCAAAGTATTCTACTCCGAAACCACTTTGGCTCTGGCTGTTCAATAAATCAGGATTGAAATCTACTCCATCAGGAAAGAAATGATTGGTAGGAGAGTCACTACTGGGGCTTCCAGCAGCATCTGCAATAAGGTCAGCTGGATCAGTGTATGGATTTTCATTATTATTGGTTTGAAAGACATCAGGGTCAAAGAGAGCACTCTGAGCATGCCCAGAGCTTGAAGAATCTCAAACAGGGGTGCCAATGGGTGGGCAATCATCACTAGTGCTGGGAAGCTTAGAGGCTTCTTCTGCAATGTCTGAAAGGATATCAGTTATATCTGGGCCAATGCTGTCTGAACTGGATAGTCGGACCATCCTTTGAATACTGGTCTGGGGGTGAGGTATTGGTTGTGGGTAAGTTGTTGGGGGAGTGCTACACTGGCTTGGAGCTGGAGTGATATGTGGAGTATCCAAAGTGTCAGCTGTCATGTTGACATCAAAGATCGGGTTCTGTGAGTCAACATCCATTGAAAATAGCTCCCTCTGAAAGTCATCTTCAGTCTGGTGCTTGGGTTTGTCAGGTGGTAACCTTGATGATTTTTTCTTCTTTGTTTTGTTGCTTCCCAAGCACATTTCCATCTGGGGTGAGCCAGAAGAGGAGTTCTGCCTTTCTAAAGGGCTGCTTCCATAAAGGGTTGAGAAATCCTGGGCAGGATTATCTTTAAGAAGGTTCATGAGCATCGGGTGGTTCTTGGTGTTGCCAGCCATTGAGGAGACAGGTGGCAGCGTGTGATGAAGAGGGGTCGGACTCAAGCCAATGGTAGACCCCCCAGTTCCCCTGGGCTGCTAGCCGGGGGCAGGTTCTTTTTCACCATGTCTTCAACTGTCTCTGCAATAAGGGACAGGGCTGGGGTGTCGGCCTTTTTATGCTAAACTGTCACTTAGTTTAAAGGTGACTTCAGAGGACAGTTTTGATTCACGGTTTGAAGGGTAACTCAGGGCAATAGCCTTGAGGGTCTGTCTCAGTAAGTCTGGATTCCTTAAGAATTTGGAGTTCTGTTCCATATTTTATCCCTTTCTATTAGGATCCATCTATCATATCCCTGATTAGAATGTTCAGTAGTGGTAGCTGTGCAAACCATCGTTCTTCTGGTCTCAAGGCTGAGGAGGCAGTGGTTGATGGAGACGATTAGCCCTGTAGTCTGTGATTCCTTCTGACTCTTGAGCTTCCTTCTTTCTCTTTTGTTCCAGACAAATAAAGAACAATAGCTGTAACTCACAAACGCTACTCACCACACTAGGAGGAAACTATAAACTTAAGACCTATATTATGCTAATTGGCTGGATTGCCTCACAAGACCATGACCTTAAGCCTTCAAACCAGAACTAATTCCATGAGGTGATTGGTTATGTCTTATTAGTATCAGCTTCTGTAGCTCCCTCACCTCCCAGTGTTTGGTTCTTATTATTGTTAGAAAATTATATATAACCTAACATTTGCCATTTCATCCTTTTTTCCTATATACAGCTTACTGACATCAATTACATTAGTCAAGGCTATATAAATAAAGTATGAATCTAGGAAAACTGGAAGTTGTCAAAAAGGAAATGGAACGCATAAAGATTGATATCCTCGGCATTAGTGAGCTGAAATGGACTGGTTTT